GAGAGGGGCTTTGGGGGATCCCCTGAGGCTGGGACATGAACTCTAGCTCCCAACCTGACTGGTGATCTTTGGGCATCCAGGTGAGCTCTGGGGAGGGAGACAATTGAGGCCGTGAAGGGGGCATGGGGTCAAGTGAGGGTGAGCGTCTGGGGCAGGTTCCCCTGGCTCTGGAAGCCCCTCCTCCACTCCAGCACACAGCTCTGTACTCGCAGCCTAGGTAGGTGTGACCCTGTCAGGATCCACAGGTCGGTTTCCCCCTGTGTAATGAATTGTGGAGGGGGAGCCAGGCTCTTTTCGGTCCTTCTGCTCCAAGCTTCTCTGAAAATTGGTTTGGCCTTGCTCAGAGGCTTGCCCAAGCCTCTCAGTGAACTCAAGGGCCTGCAGGACTCTAGCCAAGTTCACCACACAGCCCTGGGCATCCAGTAAAGGACCCAGGATTCCTCCCAGCAGTCTCCCAGGCCAGGGGAGAAAGACAGAGGGATGGCCACAAGGGGCCGCTAGGACCCAACCCAAGGCTCGCCTGGGTGCAGTCCTCTCTCTACACACAGTTTCAGCCTTTCCCAATTGGGAAAGTCCGCCATGGAGCCGGGCCCTCTGCCCTTTGACAGGCGGCAGATAGGCTGGGGGAGTCCCCGAGCCTGTGCCCCCCTGTGGCCCCGCAGTAGTCTGTGCTCATTCTGTATGCTGCCTACCCAACCCTCAGGTCTCCGGGCTGCAAGGGTGCCTCCTGGCCCTGGGAGCTCACAGTTTGCTGTTTCACTCTGGCTCATCCTTCACTCCTCTTGGGAACTTAGGGAGGAGCCTGATCGTATTAGAGGGGAAAAGGAGCCCAGTGCTTTCAGGCTCTTGGTCCTGAACACTCCCACAGCAGGGGAATCTAAGTGCCGGTCCTGGGGCTGGTGGGTGTCTTTCTCCCTACCTGCTGCCAGTGCTCCCGCGGAAACTACTTCAGACAAAGGTTAGGAGAGGATAACACATGCCCCTTTGCCCTCTGGAGGAAGGCAGTGAGCCTGGGCAATGGCTTTAATCGCCAGAAGGCTTTAGACGGGTCAGAAAGGTGTGTTTGTAGCAGTCGCCCCAAGAGGACCTGAAGTAAGAGGTGTGTGGCCACCACATTTGATAAGCCACTGTGAGGGTGAGGCGGCACACCCAGGCTGCATGTTCACGCCTCTTTATTCAAGAATCAACAGCCCTGTCCCAGCTGAGGAGCTCAAAGCTCATACTGGGTCAGGCTTTTGGGAGCCCTGCTCGACTAGAGGGGAAGATGCTAGCCTACAGTGGATGACAGTGTGACCAGGGTGGTGACCCAGGGGCTACACTGACCAATGGTGCAGTGAGGGATGAGGGACAGGCCTCTGATGCGGGGACTCTCGGCTTTGCTCGGGCCTTTGAGCTTTATACCACTTAAAGGGATAACTCCTACCAGCTTAGGGGGGCCAAAGGCTGATGAACTTTGAGTTCACTCCTGGCAAAGAGTACTGGTACCGCCAAAATCCACAGCAACAAATATCTCCTCACCCTGCCCTGAGGGGTGCAGATGGAGAAAGGGAGGGTGGGGAGGTGTGGGGGTGGGGTGGCACTTGGGCACCCCTTCACTGCAGCATCAAAGGAAACGTGTGCAGAATAAGGTGGAACATTGTGGAAATTGTCTCCGCTGCTCTGTGGCCTAAGAATTCACGGTCAATGAGAAGAATTTCCTCCGGTCCCATATTTTTTCCTCCCTTTGAAAGTAAAACCTTTGGATCAAACACACACACAAATCGTGGTCATCTGTGTCTGCTGCACTCTGCTCGCTTTGCAGAAGCGAGCGGGATTGAACGGTTTTAAACTCTTTCCAGCATTGGAGGGTGGAGCCAGCTCACTCTGGAGTTTGAGTGTGCAAACCGGTCACTCTCACACTCTTCCTGAGAGCAGCCTAGTGTCACTGAGCACAGCTTGACTCGGTTCCTGTCCTGACTTGTCCACACTAAGACGGGCTGGTTTGCTGAGTCTCATTTAATGTCTGTCTTGCTAAGAGTGATTAATTACACTCATGTAACATGGATTTTCATTTTTTTCAAAGTAATACAAATAATGCTGTTTCAAAAAACGTATTTCTATAATCAGCACCCCCAAATTATCTCCTCATCCCAACCCCCTTTTCCTTTTCCAGGGCAGCCGAATTCATGGCCCCAGGTGGGCTAGCAGTTTGTTGATCCTGGGCTACTTGCTGGAGACAGTTCCATGGGCTTCCAGGAGGGCAGGGAATACCGCCTTTCTCCTCATGCCCTTCCCCCACCTACCCGGAGCCCTGATACTTACCACAAGCTGGTAAATATTTATCAGTTCAGTAACATGTTTTTCCCTCATACTTTGACAAGTTTTCCAATTAGTAAAGCCTTACTTCCTCACACCCTCATTGTCCTATGTCCCGATCGCTAATTCTTCTCATTTTACAGCCACATGTCACACTTTTTCCCCGTCACTGTCCCTGCCGCGCAGGCCATCCATAGTTTGACTCTGTCCACCCAGTTGGCCCATCTGTCCCATGGGCCTGGCAGCACAGCTCTCCCTGCCCTTCTGCCCTGGGGAATGCTTGCTTTACTCTCCCCGTTTGCTGGGTCTTAGATGCACAACTTTTTGAAAAGTGGTGTACCAAAAATCCATTTTGTTTTGCTAGTTGCCTGAGGCTGTCTGTTTTATACTCACCTTTGATCAGTGATCAGTGAATTAACATGGAATTTGCATTTGAAAACTGGTTTTGTTGAGGATTCCTAAGGTTTCTGCGCAGGCCTGTACCTTTCAGAGTTCTGGGGTCAGATGAGATTCAAGAACCAGTTCTGGATGGACCCGTGTCTCCCCTCCCTGCTGCCCTCTTTTTAGGGTCACTGTTTATTTTTGGCTCTTTAGACCTTCCAAATGACCAGCTTGGTGTCGTTTACTGATGGGGGTCTAGTGATCCCTGCCAAACTAGAACTCAGGAAAATTTCCGTGTTTCTTGGCTTTGCTCTTTGGGGAGAACTCTGGTTAGTTTTCATTATTTTTAGAACTTCCTGGATTGATATTCAAACGGTCTCATTAATTTTTTTTCCTGCTTTCCATTTCTGTGGCTTCCATCCTTTCTGAAGACACCTGCCTGTTGTGGCTACAGGCAAGGCGGTGTCTCGCAGGTGCTATTCCTGTCACCTTGTTAGTTTTGGCTTCGGTGTGTTGCTGTAGGATTTTGTTTCCTCCAGATTTTTCTTGTCGGACGGCTGGTGATCCCTGGCGGTTGGCGCCTATCAGAAGCGAGGCACTAAGGAGCCCATGGGCAACTCTGTGGACTGCCTGACTTGTAGCCTGCGGGGTAGACTCAGGATACCCATTTCTGGAGGCAGCTGCGCCAAGAAAGATTCCCCAGCTGCTTTGCATTTCGGAATCAAGAAGCCTCTGACTTGAGAGAAGGGGGGAAGGGGAGGGGGAGAGGAAAGGGAGTGGGGGGAAGGGGAGGGGGATGGGGGACTGGCTCTTCCCTGTTTAGGGGTGCCAGGGGGCTGAAAGCTATTCCACTGCCTTTCTGCCAGCCCCTCCACCTCTATTTTTTCCCAGTACCGGGTGCCCCCCCCCCAGCAGGACTCTCCTCAGCCTGGAGCTGTGCCCCCCCCAGCAGGACTCTCCTCAGCCTGGAGCTGTGCCCCCCCCCCAGCAGGACTCTCCTCAGCCTGGAGCTGTGCCCCCCCCAGCAGGACTCTCCTCAGCCTGGAGCTGTGCCCCCCCCAGCAGGACTCTCCTCAGCCTGGAGCTGTGCCCCCCAGCAGGACTCTCCTCAGCCTGGAGCTGTGCCCCCCAGCAGGACTCTCCTCAGCCTGGAGCTGTGCCCCCCCCAGCAGGACTCTCCTCAGCCTGGAGCTGTGCCCCCCAGTTCTCAGTGTTTCTTAGACCCAGCCCCGTCACTGCCACCTCCGCTACACTTCACTCATGTCAGACTGTCGGGGAAGCCAAGGGAACGTCGCATCATCGAGATTTATGCAGCTCCTGCTCTGTTCTCAGTGCTCCATTAAGTGTGACAAAGTATCATCTCATGGGATTCTTAGGGCCTGCTGTGGAGTCGGCCCGGAGCCATGCCTGGCGTATAGGGGTCCAGGGGGACCATCCAGACTCCTTTATCAGCCCTGCAGGGAGGGGCATGGCCCCTTGGTGTCCACCCTATCCTGCCTAACAGACCACGGGCCAGCCTCTCTGTCCTGCGTGCCTCATGTTCTCATGCTCCCCCACACATCCGCACGGGTGGTTTTCCTGAGAAGATACTGGGGGCTCTGGGCATGGTGGCACAGGCCTATAAGCCCAGCTATTCAAGAGGTAAAGTCAAGAAGAACACAAATGGGGCTGGAGAGATGGCTCAGAGGTTAAGAGCACTGACTGCTCTTCCACAGGTCCTGAGTTCAATTCCCAGCAACCACATGGTGGCTTACAACCATCTACAATTCAATCTGGTGCCCTCTTCTGGTAGAACACTGTAAATGTAATAAATCTTTAATGACACCACAACTCAAAGTAAAAACTAGCTATAGCTTAGTGGTGGTATACTGGCCTAAGGCCCTGGGGCGGCTGGCAAAAGCCATCAGCTGTCCTAGCTGTCAGCCCTGTCCCTGCACGAGAGCCGTCCACAGTGTTTTCTTGTGGCCTCTAGACCAAGCCTCTCCTCTTGGGTGACTTTGGTTTGTGGAAAAAGTTGGGCTTCGTCCTGTGTGGGGTGCACCCCGCTCTAGCCATCCCTTTCCACTAGAGAGGCCCCCTTTTCTCTAATTAGTATCTAACCCGCTCATTTTCTGTCTCCAAGGTGACCAAGCAAGAGAGATGCTTGAGGAAAAAGTACCAGAGGAAAAAACAACAGCTTAGTCACTCGGGCCTGTGGCCAGACTGGCTGTAAACTAGGTTGCATGGCTCTGTTACTACTAAGAGGTTCGTGAGGGACAAATTCAGCACAGGCCTTTTTCTAAAAGAGGCTTTATCGAGATGTAATTTCCATTTGCTGTGTCCAGGTCAGTGGTTCCAGTGTTCAGTTTTTCAGCCTCATCACAGTGAGTTTTAGAACCTTGTCATTACCCCAAAGGGAACCCTGTGCGTGCTAACGGTTACCACACTCCGCCACACCGCTTTCTGTCCTGCGGCGTTGCTCACTCATCCTGGCATGCACGGTAACACAATCACAGTGGGCTTTCCTGCTTGCCCTTGCCTACCTAGCCTCGTGTCTTCAAGCTTCCCCACATATCCACATGTTTGTGCTTCATTCCTTTTTTCTCGCTGAATAATATTCCACCATCTGGATATATCACATCTGTCTTTCTGCTCACTGCTAAGGGGTGTTTTTAGGTGGTTTCCACTTGAGGGAATGCTATGCATAATGTTATCATGAACATCTGCGCGCAAGATTTTCTGTGAACATGTGTTTTAATTTCTCCAGCATTTTTATTCTATTTCAGAGTATAGAAAGTCTAAGTTTTTAAGGCATTCCCAGAATGTTTCTATAGCAACTGTACCAGGTTCCACTTCCACAAGCAGCGCCTGAAGCTCCGGATCCCTATTGTTTGCCAGCACACCCGTGGTGGCCTCAGGTGGTAGCCACACTGGTTGGGTACACAGCAGTGTCCCATGGGTGTGTGAGTGTGCATTTTCCTGGTGGCTAATGACACAGGGCCACTTTTCATCTGTAAATATTCTTCAGAGCAGCATCAATCCAAATTGCTTGCCCGTTTAAAACTTACTTGAAATTTGCTGAGCTAAAAGCATTCTTACATACTCTGGGTGTATTTCCGGAAGAGACACGATTTAAAAACACCCCTCTTGCTCTATGGATTGCCTCTCCTTATTGTCCTGATGGTGTCCTTCGATGCACAAACAGCTTTCGTGTTAGTGATGGCCAGCTCGTCCTTGCTGGTGGGTGGCAGTGCCCTTGATGTCAGATTTAAGATATCGTAGTCATAGTCACCAAGGTTTCCCAAGAGTTTTGGGATTTTAACACTTTTATTTGTCTTTGGTCTATTTCAAGCTATTTTTTTTTTTGTATATAGTTTTTTTTTTTTGTTTTGTTTTTTCAAGACAGGGTTTCTCTGTGTTGCTTTGTAGACCAGGCTGGCCTCAAACTCAGAGATCTGCCTGCCTCTGCCTCCTGAGTGCTGGGATTAAAGGTGTGCACCACCACCCTGCTTGTATACAGTTTAGATCTAGGTCCAACTTCACTCTTTTGCGCATGGGTATTCAGTTGTCCCTGTACACACACAGAAAATTCTTCCCACCATGAGACCATAGCTGTGGAGGTTTGCCTTTGAACTTCCCACCCTGCTGAGTTTTCTTCATGCTCCTTTAACACTGCTTTGATTACTTCAGCTTTTTTTTTTTTTTTTTTTTTTTTTTTTTGGTTTTTCAAGACAGAGTTTCTCTGTATTGTTTTTGAGGCTGTTGGTCCAGCCTGGCCTCGAACTCACAGAGATCTGCCTGCCTCTGCCTCCCGAGTGCTGGGATTAAAGGCGTGCACCACCACCGCCCGGCTCAGCTTTTTTTTAAAAAATATTTTATTTATTTATTGTGCATACAGTCTTCTGCCTACAGGCCAGTGGAGGGCACCAGATCTCTTTACAGATGGTTGTAAGCCACCATGTGGTTGCTGGGAATTGAACTCAGGACCTCTGGAAGAATAATCAGTGCTCTTAACCTCTGAGCCATCTCTCCAGCCCCCTACTTCAGCTTTTTATTTTTAATTTTTTTCTGGTGATCCACAGTTTTTAAAAAAGATTTATTTATTATGTACACAGTGTTCTGCCTGCATGCCAGAAGAAGGCACCAGATCTCATTACAGATGGTTGTGAGCCACCATGTGGTTGCTGGGAATTGAACTCAGGACCTTTTGGAAGAGCAGTCAGTGCTCTTAACTTCTCTCCAGCCTTGATTATTTCAGCTTTGTATTGTTTGGAAACTGATGCAGGAGCCCTGAGCCAGGATTGCTTGGGTTATGTTATGACCTATACAAATTTGCATATGAGTTTCTTGGTCAGATGGGCAGTTTTGCAAAGAATCTAGCTGGGGTTTGGAGAGAGTGCTCTGACTGTAGATCAGTCTAGGGAAATAGTGATGTGCTGAGAATCGGTCTTCCAGTCTGGCATGGCGGCCCACACACTTAATCCCAGCACTTGTGAGGCAGAGACAGGCAGATCTGAGTTCAAGGACAGTCTGGTCTAGAGTTCCAGGACAGCCAGAGCTACACAGAGAAACCCTATCTCAAAAAAAGAAAATTGAAAAAGAAATTGGTCTTCAGTGCATGTGGGGTGTCTTTCCAATTATTTAGCAATGATTGCAGTCTTCAGAATAGTCTATTAATTTGTTGCTATTTTGTGGGGCAGGTTGGAAGCAGGATCTCATTATGTAGCTCTGGCTGTCCTGAACTCACTATGTAGACCACGCTGGCCTCCAAACTTAGAGACAAACCTGGTGTAGGCTTAGAGTTGTAACCACTACACCCAGAAATGTTATTCTGTTTGATGCTATTTTACATGACATTTTCCTTTAATTTCATTTTTGGGTTGCTTGTTTCAAGTATAAACACAATTGGTTGTGTGTTGATCTTGTAATCTTCAACTTCCATCAGCCAATTTATTACCTTTAATAGGTGTGTGTGTGTGTCTGTGTCTGTATGTGCACAATATATATGCTCTTTAAGATTTTCTTCATACAAGAATATATCATAGTTTTACCTTTTTTAAAACAAAAGACATTTGGGTATCTTATTTTCTTGCCTAGTTTCTCTGGCCATGCCTTTCTGGATTACAGAATAAAATGTAAAGAGTGCTGTGCTTTGTCTTGCTCTTGATCTTAGGCAGAGGAAAGCATGTCAGTTTCCCCCACAAGTAGCATGTAGTATGTTAGCTGTGCAGTCTTGTAAGCTAGGGAAGTTCTTTTATTTTTGGTGTTAAGTAGGAGAACTTGCTCCTGGAGACGGAGTGGGGATCTTGGGACCCAGGAGACCTGGCCTAGTGTTCTGAGCCTAGATTCATACCCCCCTACTTTCTCTCCCACCTAGGGTTTTGAAGTGCTTGTCAGATAGTTTGCTTGCAGAAGGCTCCAGAGAGTCCTGTTTTTAGGAGCGATGTCTGAAAGTTAGAGAGGCCTAGGTGGGCCCTTGGCTATGGACAGCAATAAGGCGGTGTGACTGGAGAAGAGCCTTGATCTGGGAGTGGTGGCTTTGCCTCTGAGTGTCCTGGGCCTGGGAGCTGGCAGCATCCCCAGCTATCCCTATCCGTATCTGGCAAGCAATTCGACCCCTACACAACACACCGACCTCTGCGGGGAAATGCTAAAAGGAGTACCCGTGTCTGGGCCTGTGTCCAGTGGTCGTTAAGAGGGCTCCATGGAGGAAAATCTATTTCAAGAGCACACCAAGTACACAGAAAGAAATTAGGAGGGAATCAGGTTTGTAAGCTATGGGAAGGGGGCTGTGCTGGGACATGTCTGGTGCTGGGCACAAAAGCATTGCCTGGGACCCAGTTCGGTTCAGTCGACAGATGTGAATGGCCGGGGCAGCCTCTCGTTCTGTAGGCCAAGTTGGATGTAAGGGAGTCGCTGAATCACTAGATTAAGTGATCTACTCAAGGCCTTCACACCTGGTTTCTTAAAAACCCCCAGCCTAACAGTTTCCATTTTTCATTTGAAGGCAGAAGCCCAGAGAACCACAGCTAGAATTTGTGAACTGAGGTCCCAGGATTTGGGTAGACAGGTTAGGGTATGTGACCAGTGAGGCCACTGCTCAAGTCCATATGAGCTAACATGAGCCCTGGGAATTGCAAGACCAGACCTACCACCAAACGTCCATGCATCTCCAGGCAAGCTGGGCCATTCCTCTGGCCTGACTGCCCATTTGTACATGGAGCTTGACTTACAGTTACAGGGAGAACCCTAAGGGCATTTGTGCAAGCAGAAAGACGACTTGTTACATAGTATACATACTAACCACTGTGTACAGGCCTCAGCGCCATGGGAGTGAATCTGCCTATCACGGGAGGAGCTGTCACTCCAGCTTCCGGAGCAGAACCTCAGACTCAGTGAGGTAGGTTACTAGGCCAGGGTGGGCACTGTGGGAGCCTGTTCTCAACCCTCAGGTCTTCATGGTCTTTTACCTTTCCTGAGGCTCAGTTTCTCCACTATCATAAGCGGAGCAGAGTTGGTCAGCCCTGTGTCTTCCCTCAGCCATAGAGGCATCTGGGAACCAGGCTCGCGGGAAGCGGCTCACGCTAGCAGTGTCTTGCTTGGTGAAAGAAGGTTGAGGCCCTGTGGGGCCTGAGCACTTGGCAGTCTGTCCTGCATTAGATAGACTTCATGACCTCCCCCTGGGCTCCCTCCAATAGCCAGCCTTTCTATAGGAGACACCCATTCCTCTTCAGGTGGCTGGTGAGAGGTAACCAACAGAAGCAACCTTGGGTAAACTCCTGTGGAGTTCCTGGCTTGTCTGCACTGACTGCCCCTCCGGGTTTACGGTGGCTCTCCTGCCTCGGCAGCCTCATGGGGCTCTTCTCTGGCAGCCTGGAGGGAGGGCTGGGGCATGGCTCTGCCTTCAGATGAAAAGCCGAGGTCCTGAGTGTGGGGCGATTCTCCACAGGTGATGGGAGGAGGCAGGTTGTGGGCTGGGGCTGACTCACTGTCTGGGGTCTGTAGGTAACACGGGGTAGGGTTCAGAAGTTGACTGGAGCAATGCAGTTAGGGAGACCGTAGTTCAGTGCCTGACTCCGTCATAGGCACTCAGGGTAGTTTACTCCACCCTTGTCCTCATCCTTACCTGAGATTGGAGTATCTAGGGCCTTTCTCCACAGGCATGACCTGCACTGGGCGGGAGATGTTAGTGGGGCCCTCTGGTGGCCCAGAGCCTTTAACAGGGCTGTCATGGCTGTGGGAACTCCCTGATGTGTAGTGGATAGCCATGGAGGACATAACTCTACTTTCGGTGGCTTGTTGCTAATATGGATTCATGGGGCCGCTGAACGCCTGTCCTGCCTCCTCCATTACTCACCTGCCTCAGGTGACGGCTCCTGAGGGCACTGCCGCCAGGGTGAGCAGGGAAGGTGGGTGCGCAGCCCGTCACCAGGGGTAGGGCATGTGGGCTGGCCAGGACTGGCTGCCTCCTGGGCCCTGAAGGTTGGCCTAGCCCTGACCCAGCCTGCAGTCCTGGGTCAGCACTGTAATCCATTTTACTTCAGAGGACTTTGCCCTTTGAAAATGTGAGACTTGCCCCAGCCCACCTTCTGGGGTCCCAGCCTGCCCGAGGGTCTCCCAGCATAGCATGGTCTTCTCCCTCTATGGTACCTTGCAGGGCTTTGGGGCTGAGGGCAGGGACCTGTGTCTCCTGGCTGGGCTCTGTGAAGTTAGTAGGCCTCTTCCTACTCTGGTTCTGGGTCTATGCGGACTCTTCATCTGTCACTGGCAAATTAATTCAAAGAAGCATTTATGTAAGGCTATATGCGACCAGCGACAGGGCAGTCCCAGACCCTCCCCAGCAAGGCCTCAATCTGTATTATGAGAGTCCAGCTAAGCACCTTGAACTTAGAGCTGTTTTTGTTTTGTTGTTGCTCTCAAACGGCCCACAGCGCTCCAAGTCTAGCTCCATGCTTGTTCTTAAGTTGGATCCAGTCGCCCCAGGCCCAGGCCCCTGGGAATGAATGGGAGGCTTTGGCTGATGAGAGCTGGCAGCTTCTTCCTAGTTCCTGTTCTGTTTGCATTTCCCCCAGAGACAGAACCACTTAGAAACCTATAAATGCCTGGCAGGGCCCAAGGCCCAGGCGAGTATATAAATCGGGACTTATAAAAGCCTAATGGTCCCCTCTGGACACAAGAGAGAGGCGTGTGCCAGAAGTCCTCAGGCAGGTCCAGGGGCTCAAATCCCAAGCTGTCACGCAGACTGACAGGACGGGAAGGGAGGAGGGCTGCTGTGGGCTTGCACTGAATGCTAACTCTGTCCAAGTGGCTTCCGGCAGGGACTGCCTTCAGCCTCAGTCATTTTCTCTGCAAAGTGGGTCACAATGCCTTGCATGCCAAATGGCCTAGAGTCGCACGTGCTGTTGGGAGTTGGCAGGTGAGGCGAGGGTGAGGTGGGGCAGGTTTTCTCTTGGCTAACCAGGCTAGTCTCAGACCTGCCATGCACCTTTATACAGCCCCCCACCCTCCATGCCAGTGGCCCTGCTCGGGACAGCTCATAGATATTCTTTATGGTCCTACTGTGTGTGAGTCACTGTCACTGGTGGGTTTGTCAGGCAGCTACATAACTGCTCTGCTCTGGGTATTGTGGAGCCTGTGCCCATGAGGGAGGAGGGCAGATCAGGCTTGGGTATTGTGGAGCCTGTGCCCATGAGGGAGGAGGGCAGATCAGGCTTGGGGTCTGTCTTCTAGCAGAACTTTACAGGTCAGATCCTGCCTTGCCCAACAGGGAGCACCTGAGGTGTAAGCCTGCCTGTCACTCCCAAGAAGCCCTTTCTGCATTTCCTACTCTCCAGAGAGATGTCTGCATCAGGGGAAGTGGAGAGAGGCCTGTGTGTGTGTGTGGGCGAGCGAGCGTGTGTGTGTGTGTGTGTGTGTGTGTGTGTGTGTGTGTGTGTGTGTGTGGGTGAGCGAGCGTGTGGGCGAGCGAGAGTGTGTGTGTGTGTGTGTGTGTGAGCGTGTGGGCGAGCGAGAGTGTGTGTGTGTGTGTGTGTGTGTTGGAAGTCCTGTGTATATGTCAATAAAGCACTGCTGGCCAATAGGGAACCAAGATAGGTGGGACTAGGAGTCCAGGAGGACTCTGGGAAGGAGAAACACAGGAAGTCAAGATGTGACCGCCATGGGGTAGGAAGCCCGGGAACCTCTACGGTAAGAGAAATACTTAGATTAACAATTATGGGATAAATACTTAAGTCAGAGCAAGGCCAACAGCTTCATAATTAATATAGCCTCCTGTGTGTTTATTTGGGACTGATGCGGCTCTGGAACCAGGCTGGCGGGAAGGCTTCCTTTTACGTGTGTGTGTGTGTGTGTGTGTGTGTGTGTGTGTGTGTGTGTGTGTGTGTGTAGTGTCTTCTGCTTGGATGACATGTAGTGCAGTGAAAAAGGTTGGGCCCTTCTACATGATGGCCTGGGTCCTGAGGTAACTCATGGGACCTAAAGGTCATCTGTAACTTGGGAATCCTTGGAGGGCAGATGCCAGTTTGGCCACAGGACCAGAAGAGGTCAAAGGTCACAACATCCCAGCTGAGGGGTTGCTGGATGAAGACCTATCCCCAAAGGCCCCTCCCCCACCTTGGTCTCCTAGAGCATTTCACATGCTGGCTGCGGCAGGTGGAAGAGAATGGAGACAATGGAGGTGTGCGGGGAGGACAGAAGCATAGACGGGGAGGACAGAAGCATAGACGGCAGAATAGCAGGAGACGGGCCCTGGAGGGAGGAGGAGCAGGATGGAGGAGGAGGGAGAGGAGGAGAGGAGGGCACAGGGCTCCTAGGGAAGCTGGGGTGTTGTAGCAACCCCAGCTGGTCACCTGGAGGTCAGGCCTGGACGCTGTCTGGAACCTTGGGCAGACTCTCATCCATTGCTCTAACGACCCTACAGGGCCCGGAAGCTGTGGCCTGTCCATGCCCATCCTCCCATGACTCTCCAGGCCCAATGAGAAACAGCAGCCGACTGCACCTAACTGCAGCTTACCCTGTGTGACAGGGACAGTGCTGTCTCTATACCATTTAGGGTGTGATGTCCTTGGGAGTGGTGGCAGGCATGCTCCCAGGCTCTCTGGTCTGAGGGACAGAGCTGAGGAGTGGCCAGGAAGTGACTTGACTGGGGAAGGAAGATATGGAGACCCTCCTGTGCTATGCTCATGTTAGAGGAGGAGACACCGCTGAGCCCCTAAGCATGCTGGGAATGAGGGGGATGGGGAGGGGGAATCCCAGCAACTGGCAGTCCCAAGCCTTTATTTCCCTCTGAGCTCCACTGCACTCCAGTCTTGCCTGCCTTCTCTGGTCTTTCTGACTGCCTTTGTCTCCTCCCTCTCTCTGCTCTGAACCTAAATGGAATCCAACTGCCAGCACCCTGTGTGTTCCTGTGTGCTGAGGCTCGGCCCTTTTCATTATTAATAGAAATATGTCCTCATTGTACAGCTTAATTCTGCTTATCTGGACTGGATTAAGAGCCTACAATGACATGCAGCATTGACTCCTGAGCATCCCTGCTAAAGGAAATTTGCCACAGCCTAATTAGTTCCATAAAAAGGAGGGGAGGGGTGGAGTGGGTGGGGCACCCTGGGTGGGAGTCGGGGGCCCTTTGTATGTGACTTAGGTTGGCCTTTCCTCACTGGAGCCTGCACTGGGCCCACACCAGGAGGCCAGGGCTGAGGCTGACGAGGGAGGCAGGGAAGCCCGAGTCTGAGGGCCAGCGGCACGGGGTGGCTGCATCACACAGGCAGGTTACTTAGCCACCACTCAGTTTCTCAGTCTGTACAATGGGACACGCGGCTCGCTCTGGTAGACAAAGATGACGTCGATGAAAAGGCCTCGGTCAAGGGAGAGGGTGGCCATCAGGTCCATGCCATGCCTGAAAGGCAAACAAGAGCTACCACAAGCCTCGAGTGTGAGCTGGGTGGAGACTACTGGAGGCACAGGTGTGACCCCGTGAGCCATGCTGGTGTCCTCGAGGACCCTGGGACCCCAGAACAGCAGGAACACAGGACAGTGACCTTTAGGAGGCTTTTGAAAGGACTCACATAATTGGGGTGAATGACAGAGGGACCAAGCACGCAGCCCAACTTGTCTGGATGACCTAGGAATCTCATTTTCCCTTCTGAAGAAGGGGTCATCTGGCCCCTCCCCTCTCTCTGCCTGCGTAAGTCAGCCAAGTAGACTGGGCTGGGGCTGTGCCCTGGTGGCTGCTACTCAGTGGGGGCATTTCTGGAGCCGGGGATGGCTGGCTGGTGCGGATGAGGTGAGCAGGGAACTTAGCCCCCCTTGGCCTCCCAACAGAGACGAGGCAGCAACTTCCTTCATCTTTCCCTCAGGTGACACTGACACGAAGGCCCCTTCCAGGCCACCTTTACAGGACAGATGTGGGTCGTTGTCTGGGCACTGGACACAGGCAAAGAGGAGGGAGGACTGCTAAGAGGGCCTTGGAGCCCAGGCTGGCCCAGGCTGGGCCCTATGTTGAGTGTAGCCCCTGAGCAGTGCTCTCCGCACCCCAGCTTGTCTGGGGGGACCTACTTTTGCCTCTTGCTTTCTGAGGCTGCTGGGTCTATGTCTCTAATGGCGTCCCCCGTCCCATGGTGTCCTTGGCTTGCATACAGTCGAGATAGGAGAGCCAAAGCTGGCTTATCTACTGGCTGAGGGCTCGGAGAAGGTAGGGCAGCTAGCTCCATGATCAGGGTGTGTGTGGTGGAGGGGCTGTCTCTGAGCACCTCTCAGCCCCGTCTGCTCCCCTGTCCCAGACTACCTGCACCTGGCAGTGTTGCCTTGGGACTGGCCGGGGTCTGTAAGACCCCTGTAGAGGATGGGGGAAGAACATTTACCCGACTGTAGCCCAGGGCCTCCTGGGCATCGGGCTCTTAATGCGCTCCCCTCAGATCTTCTGGGTCTCCGGATTTAGGCTGAATCCCAAAGCAGAACCAAGCCTTCATGTCTAGTTTCCAGTTTTTAATGTTTTTTTGTAAAACCAAAAATATAAAACTCATAGGGAGGTGGAAAAGAGGTCCTGTACATTGTATATACACGAGGTCTGTGATTTGAGAACCTTAGGGAGAAAGATCCAGTCAGGCGACTGTCACAGGGCCATGGTGCCTGGCAGGCAGCTCTGAGGCCAGACAGCCCTCCAGGCAGGGGCGCGCCTGTGATGTGACCTGGCTGCCCCTTGTGGGAAGCTCCAGGGCTGACGGCAAGCAGCTGAAGTAGTGTCGGGAGCTGGGCAGGCAGGTACAGCAGGATTCCTTCAGGTGTCTGTGTAGATGGAGGGGATGTGACTCAGGCAGTGGTCAAAGGCCCCATTGGGGAAGAAGCCACAGTCCTGGGGACCACTGGGCACCAGGTCTTCAGATGGCTGTGGCTGCAGGGCTGTAGGACACGGAGCTTCTGCCAGGGCCTCGTAGCCTGTGGGCAGAGCAGAGGGTCTGAGTGGGAGGATGGCAGAGGCTGGGCTATCCGACCCACTGGGGTCTCTCTTCTAATGCTCCTTTCATGGGGCCTACAGATGGGAGACCTAGGTGCAGAGGAGTCAGAGTCTTGCACTCCAAATAGCCCAGGACAGCTGGAAAGACAGGCTTGACAGCCTCTCTCCAGAGCTCGCCTGTGGAGGGAGGAGGGGGAGAGGGAGGGACAGAGTGGGGTGGGAGCATCATGGCACCTTCTTTAGAGGATGGCCCTCGTGGCAGAGGGAACTCAGTTCCTTATTCTTCCAGGTCCCCCCACCCCACCTCACACTCACTACAAGAGGGGAGCCAGCATCACTAAAACCGACTTCATAGCACTCCTATGACGTGCGACTCGCTATCTTTAGGGTAAAAGGATGGGCTCAGAGAGGGTGGGTGTCTAAGGTCACACTGCTAGTAAGGGGGGGCTGATCTTAAATGCAAGTCCATCTGGCTCTAGGGACACCTGGCTTTTCTGGTGGACACCCTGTTTCCAGGGTGAGACCACTGCTCGAGGTTCTTGACTGGAGGCAGAGACCCAAAAGGATCATCTTATCCTATGCCCTGTCCCTGAGCTGCTGTCATGACTTATGTGGCTTTGGCAAGTGGGTCTCAGTCTCCCACATCTGTACAATTGGGGTGAGGTAACCCAAAGTCTTTCACATGTTGGTTCATCCTGGGACTACTGTCACCTTGATGGGAGGTAGCTAGCAGCAATAGGTGCTGGGACAGACCCAAAGAAGCCCCCTGTCCTGGTGTCAGACTGCTAAATCAGTATATCCCCTGGGGTGGGGCCAGGAGCACAGGATGGTGAAAGCCAGCAGCATGGGGGCAGAGTGGGTACCGATCCCATAGGGGGCCGGCACACAGGCCTGTCGTGTATTTATATGTGGCCCATGTCTACCTACAGATGAATGTTACTGTACTCACAGACTATGTTCACACAAGCACGGCAACCTGGAGCAGCTCCGCATGCTCACACACAGTGTGTGCCTGACTATGGAGTTAGCTGTGAGTCTCAGGGTAGGTAATGTGAGAGGTGGGTATGTGAACATCAGTATAGCACAGTGAATCCATGCCCTGGGTGTTCCTCGGAGTGCCCACAACAGCCGGCCAGCCCTGCATGCACACAGATGTGCTCACAACATGGGAAGGGAGAACTCAGACACAGAGCCGGTGTGGGAACTTGCACACACAGCCAAACCCCAAAGATGCTGGAGCCACAGTTTACCGGCAGCGTCTCTGCCTGGCCCTGTGTCTAATGTCCATGTCCCTCAGCCCCCACGGTGCTCCTCGAAAGCCCTCTGTAGGGCCTCAATAGCCACCACTAGATCTGGACTCTGAGGCTGGTTTGGGTGGGGCTCAGCTTGGGTAATTCAGGAGGTTCTACCCACCAATTATCTGCCCTGAGTGCTGCTTCACAGGACTAGAGCAACAGACTCCCAGCTCCTCGGCCCCTCAAGGGAACAGGCATCAGCATCTGTCTCAGCCCCAGACCGCAGCAGGTGCCTGATAAACACTGTGTGAAACACCATGAGGCCCATAAGCTCTGGTCTAATTCAGGGAGCCTAGGGACTCATAGCATCTAGACACAGCTGGGCAAAGCTATGGCAGGAATGCAGTCATCCTGGTGGTTCTCTCTCTGCTCGGGAGGCCTTACTACACAGGGCTCGCCTTGGTAGTGCTCAGGGAAGGGAGGCTTCGGCAGCTTACCTGGGGCAGGTAAAGGCGTGCCGAGGCTGGGATAGGTGTTGGGCCTTACAGGGTTGAAACCAGGGGCATCACCCACCAGTCCGTCCCTGGAGGCTGCTGGCTCAGTGGTCCGGTAGCAGTCACCATAAGGGAAGCAGTTCTGGATGGAATGGAAACTGCCTTGGTAGCCTGCAAGAGGAGGCAGGGGGACTGCAGTGATGGAGGGAAGGTCCAAGTCATAGGGGAGGTCAGGCCCCTTGCCATGTGGATGAGAAGAGAGCACAGGGAAAGGAAGAGGCATAGAAAGGTGGTCCTACGTGGCTGGCTAGAGTCAGTCTGAGGCTGATGGGATGCTCCGCCCTCCACCTCTGGACCCACTATACCAGTATTCTCCACGCAGTAGGCCCCACTGTCACTAAGGCAAGAAGCCCAATGTGGCCCTCGGAACCCAGCCTGTTGTTCAGAGCACCCACCTGCCTCCCCCAGGCCCCATGTCAGTCCTCTTGGTCACAGTGGTTGAGCGCAGCTTACCTTGGGGGCTGGGTAGAGGTGGTGGTGGCGGCGGCGGGCTCTGGAAGGGTGGGTAGGTCGGCTTGCTGGGGAGCGTGGAGAATGGCTGTCCCCCTGGAGACTGACTCTGGGAGGATGGTGGCAGCGGTGGGGGACCAAGCCCCTTCAGTGGGCTGACCATGGGTGAGAGAAGGCCAGGTCCCAGGCTGGAGAGGACAGATACCACGATTTCATCATGGTGAGGCACGGCCCAGGGTCTCACCACCTGCCCTAATTCTCAATGCCAGGAACACGCCCATGGGCCTCTTGCTTGGTCATGTTCTGATGGGAGTTAAATTTTAGTTGTGAACTTGGTTTTCAGGACTGCCAATAAACAAGGAACAGAGATGCCCATGACCTTGGAAATCCACAGACCAGAATTCAAACTCCTAGCAGCTTCCACCAGGCACAGACCTCGGAATGTTGGGAGCCTTTGCTTCTCTTCAGGATGTGCTATGTTTACTTCCTGACACGCTGCAGCTGTCACTATCATGGGTTAAATATCAGCCCCCCAGTTGTGTGACTCTGGGGTGGAATAGACCATCCTATTCACTAGAGGTCCCCTTTGTACATCAGGAAACCAAAGTTCAGAGCGGCTGCACAGTGCATTCTGTCCACGTGGTCACGCAGCATTGGCCTCGTTGGTTTCAGTGAAAGTAAAATCAAAACCATGTAAACAAATGACCCCGTACGATGTATTTACATCCTCGCTAATAAATGCCATGACCAAGGGAAGGACACACAAGCTGGCATTTTATTCTGCTGTGCAGTGTATTTGGGGGAGCCTCTCTGATCTCCCTCCCTGGCCAGCGGTCTCCTACTTGCATAGCTTCCGTGATAGGAGGCTCATCACTTGCATTCAGACATAACTTGAGGGATCCAGGCTCAAGTCTGTGCTGTTTGGAAGCTCTTGTGAGCTGAGGCCACAGGGCTTGAGTGTGGTTGTGCTGAGTGTCACCCAGGTTTACTGCCGACCCTCCAGGCCAGGCTCCTACCTCAGGTTTCCATCCTAACCTCTGAGCTCTGCTCACGGGGACTCTGAACCTATCTGCACTGTGGAGGGAGCAAGAGCAATGGCAGTCTCCAAGGCTTTGGTTTGACTTGTGGATTTGCTGGGCCAGTTATGTCAGGGTTTCTCAACCTGTGGGTCTCGGTCCCTGCTACATTAATAACAGTAGCAAAATAAGTTAGGAAGTAGCAACGGAATAATTTTATGGATGGGAGGGGCGTCACTACAACATGAGGTCACAGCATCAGGAAGGTTGACAACCGCTGCTCTACATCAAAGCAGACAGCAAAGCCAGGACCACACTCCAGGTGACCCTGTCACGGGAGACACATTCTCCTCCTTCCACTAGAAGTGGGGTTTGTGGGGCAGATCGGCGCCTCCTCTGAAGGGACTGTGGGGACAGGAGATCTGGGCACCTTTCGCTCCATAGCCTTGCCACTGTCCTGCCATCTCCACACACTTGGGATGCCTCTTTCTGAAGCTCAACCTCCCCAACGGTTACTGTTTTCCGACCATGGGGCACAGGGTCTCCCTAATGCCAACTGTGAATGCTGGGCCACGAACCCAATGGCCACACTGTCCGTTCTCTTGGCAGAAGCCAGGTCAGGGCACATCCTCATGAGTTCTTTTTTTCTTCAGAACTGTGCAGTGCCTGCCTTGTCCCGTTTCCTCACAGAGCATCTAAAACCCAGATGTGGGTCTCCTACTTCACCAGGAAGGGGCCTGGCACACGGCCAGTATCCCAAACCAGTTCTTTGTGAGACAGGATCTCGATGTGTAGTCCAGGCCGCCCTTGGCCTTGCCATCCTCCCTCAGCGTCCTGAGTGCTTATATTCCAGGTGATGCCAACATGCCCCACCCCACGAAGGCTTCTACCTCACTCAGCCCCAAGCCCCGGATGAAGTGCAGGAAGAGGCAAGCACGGATCTGGGGGAAGCATGTGTGGCTTCCAGGCTTGTTTTCTCTGTCCAGACCCGCCATAAACTCTCCTTTGCCACCTCCACAGCCGGTGAAATTAAACAGGACGTAACTGTGCACAGCTGACACACAGGCTGATCTGTGCCACTCCAACGGCAAGAAGGTCACCTGGAGCCCTCTCTGCAGGCAGGCGGGCAGGCGACTCCCACAGCACATGCTTGAGCTTTGGTTGAAGCCTATATAAGTTTCATCGGGCCTGGCTGGCAGCCCCAGGGCTCCGTGTCTTCCCTGCACAGGGCTGGGAAAGAAACCCACCAAATTTGGTGTCTCCGCCGAGCCAGGGTAAATACATTTGGTCATGAAGTCAGGCCCTCTTAGCATATTTCTGAGTGAATCAGATAATTCTGTCAAGCTATTTAGACGTCCCAGCAAGCCGCTGGGGAGCCTCAAGTGGCCAGTCCCTGTTGACTTTGGCAAGCAGGGGAAGCTGAAGGCCTTCCCGCCCATGACTCCTTTGGGGCTGAAAAAGAAACCCATTCAGGCTAGCCCCAGGCTGTGTCAGCCACGGGGGCCCTTCTCTCCAGCAGGCATCCGGAACCCGGGCGCCTGGCGGCTGGGGATAACTCTTGCCACTCTGCAGGCTGGGGTTGGGCGGGTGGGCTGGGGTCCTGTCTTGTCATCACTCTGCCTCTCGCGGCGGGCATTCCTGATGGGTGCTTACGCTGGCGGCAGGCGGGTGATGAATGAGGCCAAGCAAAAAGCCCTGCAAGGACTGATGTGGTTTAATGTCTTATGGCTGGAGATGCCGAGGCCGGCCACTGGCTAAACAGGTGGCCTGAGCTTGGGGCAGAGAGGGCAGGGACTACTATGGATGGGACATGTACTGGGTGACAAGGGGCATTCCTGCAGGAGGGCCTTTCAAGAGCTCAGGGAGTGCACTTTGCCAGGGTCAAGCCTGGGCCATGCTTGCTGTCTGGCTTCTCTCCTCTCCTGCCCAGCCTTAGCTCAGGCTGCCACCTCATATCCCACACTGTTCCTAACGGATGCTGTTGGCCCAGCCCAACCTTCAGGGTCCTTCCACTAGCCTTGTGTCTGGTTCCCGGGGCCTCTCACCAGCGCAGCTTTCCACACAATGGTTCCTTTCCCGGGCGCGTCCCAGCTCTCACCCTGCCTGCTGGAAGTTCTCATTCCTCCACCTGCCTCTGGAGCCTGGCTTAGCACTACCTCCTGCAGGCAGCCTATCCGGCTTCCTCTCTGGGCCTCCACAGCCCTTCTGTTCCTTTCCCAGGTGGTCAAATTGTGCAGCCTGTGCAACGTCCCTTCACACAAAGCCAGTAGGGGCCGGGCACTGGCTGGGGACCTGCCCAGCAATCGGGAAGGACAGGAGGACCAGGTAGGAGCAGCAGGCACAGACTTGATAATAAAGCTAGACTGGTCCTAACTGTACGGTGGCCTAGGCTATGCCCCCTTGGAGAAGGGGGTGGGCACAGAAGGAGGAAGGTACTGGAGCCAGGCCTTGAACAACAAATTTGAGCAAGGCACTGCTGGTGGATAAGCAAAATGGGGGGGGGTTATGACTCCCTCTGATCATGCAGCAGGATGGTAGCATGTTCACCAGGTCCAGCCAACAGGGCAAGGAGCATACTGAATGCAGTGACTCTATGGAGGGCTCTGAGGGTTTCAGTGTCACCCAGGCTAGCCCAAGGAGAGGGTAGAGAGGTATTTCTGAGGAGCCTGGCTGCAGCAGAATTTCCCCAGGGGTCTCTGAAAGGAGGATGTGGGTGGCTGGAAGCCTGGGAACCAATACCATCTGCTTCTGCTGAGGGGGGAGGTATCCCTGGGAGACATCAATAAAATTGTACACAGAAGGTGGTACAGAGTACAGGACCCAGTCAGTGACGCATAAATGTAGGCTGCTGTCACCAGTAATGACAGTCTGTGTGCAGGTCACCTGCCACACTCTGCCTTGCCCACCTGTGACCCCTGAGGACTAGTTTGCCATACATACCCATCCCTGGTGCTCTCAGCTGTGGGCAGGGGGGACAGGTGGTGGTGGGAACCAGTGGTGACCTCCAGCGGGTGGTGCCTGGAAGGGACATCATGGGAGGGGGACAGGATGCCCGAAGCAAGCCCATTTTGCGGCGTGACAGGGCCGGGATATACACCTGCAAGGAACCAAACAGATGCCACTGGGCTTTAGCCACTCTCTAGGGTATGAACATCTCAGGAGTCATGCTGGTCTGCTTAGAGAGAATGACAACGTATCAATAGAGGTGATGGCACCACTCTGTCCAGGTCACGGCTAACAGAGCTGATGGAGCAGGTCTGTCAGACACATGGGGCTGGGAGCTTGTAAGGAGGATCTGCTTCAGATCTCCATTGGGCTCTTCTGGAAAGGCAGGGCATGGCTCTGTACCCCCAGAGGCAGAGAGACACCTTGGAATGGAGAGACGCAGAATGAAGCTCAGGCCTTGGCAGAACCTTCCAACAAGCAGTGCTGCTGGAAGCCAGTGGCGCTCCCTTTGCATAGACTGAACTGTGGGTCCTCAGACACAGGCAGGCAGAGCCCAGGCATCCAGTGACCAGCACTGTGGGTAGTGGCCTAGGCTGGACACTAAACTAAGGTCCCACCACAGGGTCGGAGTCCTCTTTTATTGCTTCCATTCCTTGTCAACATAGGTGAGCTAATAGACCAACAGGAACACGAGGTCAAAGTCATATGTTGATGGGGGCACACGCCTTTAATCCCAGCACTCAGGAGGCAGAGGTGGGCGGATCTCTGTGATTGCAAGGTGAGCCTGGTCTACAGAGTAAATTCCAGGATAGACAAAAGTTCACGGAGAAACCCTGTGTCAGAAAATGAAAAAAATAAAAGGAAAAAAAAAGTAATAAAAAAGCCACGTAAGGATGGAAAATACAGAGTCTGGATACTATATGTTAATCTGTTGTCTTTAAATTGATGGTTCAGGAAAGAGCTACAGCTGCTAAAATACATTTAATTATAAATGTTGCTAAATTAATCCGACTTATATATTTTTAAAATGCTTTGACTTTTAAGAGTTTTTGCTTGTGTTTCCACAGAAAATGTAAAGCTATGGATTCCTTCAAGACTAATATGGTTTGATGAAGCAAGACTCCCTGAAACAGTGTCCCAGGTGATCCAACATCTAAAACAGCTGAGACGATGCAGCCTTGCAGACCATATAAAAACAAGGACTTTGCCAAGTTTCTATGCTTTGTCATGATCCCGTTGGTAGGGACAGCACCGCCAACCAGCAGGAAGCAGTTTGGAATGAACAACGCCCAAATTCCCAAATATTGTTTATAAATTCTTGTTTTCATTTAAATGGAGTATGGTTTCATTTAAATGAAACATAAATGGTTAATGATCACAACCAATCTCTTTTTTAAAGTAAAAGGGAGATTATGGTATAGAAATGAATACTTTGTCTTGGAATGGATTTTCAGGTATTAATACAAATTTAAGATCAATTTTGTTATATGTATATTTCTCTTGTTTAGGTATTGTGCTTGTATAGGTCATTTAAAAATGTAATGTATAATTTAGTACAGATTATAGTTACCTATAATAGTCAAAACTTATAGTTAGTTACTTAGGTTTTCTAGATATATAGAGATATATTTCAATTGGATAGGCATTCTTCAAACCTTTCAAAGACCTACAGAATATGGCATTTAAAATGGTTTAGGGTTTTTATTGTCAATAAGACAACTACTCCTGGCAATACCAACTGCATCAGAAAGGAAAATGGACATCGAAGAAACTTGTTATAGGGTTTGCTTCCAATACAGCAAGACTAGACATTTAGGCAAGAAACCGCTCTTGCCTGGACTGTTTTGACTTTATGCTGTATAAAATAGACATGCAGGACCCACAGGAAAGTGACTGCTGCTGAACTTGATGGGACAGTCCTAAAGGGTTCCTGCTTCATGGAAGAGTCTGCCAGACATCCTACAGGACACAGAGAAAAGTGATGTACAGGCAGACAGTTTAAAGTTTCCTACTTTGCTGAGGAGTCTGCCAGACACACTATGGGCCGAAGATGGAACATTGCAGAAGAACTCCGGGTGACTGACCAGGCAGCGAGTTGTCTCTCTCAATTCTAGAGTTTATATATATTAGCCTTCTGCGGTCTTTGATGGAGTTGAAGACAGATGGTTATAGTTTTCCTTAGTTATGATAAAAGATAAGGCACATAAGACTTTAGACTCACAAAGATAGGATAGCATGTTTTAAGTCTTGCTAAATGTTAATGGACTAAATATTTTAACTATAGTTCTTACTTGATAACTATTTTGTTATATGTTTTACTATGTTAATGTTAAAACCCTTTTTTTTATTTAGACAGAAAAGAGAAGATGGCAGAAGTCCTTCTGTGTATGTTTGTCTTATAGATGAATAAAACATTGTTGGTCAAAAGAGAAGCAAGATAGGCAGGACTAGGAGATAATGAGGATTCTGGGAAATGTAGTAGGATGTTGCCATGTGATCCTGGGAGGAGAGGACCCAAGTCTTGCATTCTCAGTAAGATAAGACCTTATAAAAATATATATTAGTAATTATGGGTTAATAATTAAGTCAGAGCTAGCCATTAAGAAACCATAGCAAATGGCCAACAGCTTTATAATAATATAGTGTATCGTGTGTTATCTGGGGTTGATGCAACACTGGGACCTGGCTGGTGGGAAGAGTTGTCATAACAACATGTTGGTCGAGAGGCCCTGCTGAGGGTTTAGGGACCACTGAGGGCAGCATTGCAAAGGAGCCTGTCAGGAGAGGGTGGCCCCTTCTCTGGGATAGGACCTAAAATGGGCACAAGTTCCTTTTATGGTACTGGAGGTGGCATCTAGGTCCCCATGTGCTAGGCAGGACCTTTATCACTGAGTGACATCAGCTCAAGGGTGGAAGGTTTGATGCTTCCCTACTTTGCCTGGAAAAAATAAACAAAACCCCTCGATTTTAGCCGGGTGGTGGTGGCGCATGCCTTTAATCCCAGCACTGGGAGGCAGAGGCAGGCGGATCTCTGTGAGTTCGAGGCTGGGCTTGACCCACAGCCTCAAAAACAATACAGAGAAACCCTGTCTCGTAAAAACCGAAAAAAAAAACCCTCAATTTTCTCCTCTTGGTAAACCTAGCATGCTTATTTGAATGGAAATGTCATTTCTCTTGAAATCAGTGATGATGAAATCAGTCATCAAGGTGATGCCCTGTGAGGACTCTCCCTCAGGGGTATGCTCTTAGTCACACCAGGGCAGAGTCCACCAGCTGGCCAGTCCCTCCCCTGCCAGCTGCTACCTCTGAAGGACTAGCCTGGAAACACCCAAGTTTCTTTCAGGGTGGGCTCAGTGCTTAGCATCCCAAGCTAGCTCATTCTCCACTGGCCATCCTGATCAGAACCTACAGGGGTTATTTCAAGGAACTGAATAGGGCTGGGCTATAGGCCTGAGGCAGAGTCAGAACTATGGTAATGGGGTCCCAAACGTCTTTAAGCTGCCACTACTGAATAGCAGCATTCGGCTTTGAAGACCAGATGACCTGCAACTTCTGATGGTGACTGTAGGTATGTGATACCAGGAGAAGTCCCATTATTAAGTCATCATGGTTGGTAACTATGGCATTTATGTGCCAAGTTTTCTCCTGACGGTTTAGAAACAGACTCTCTGAACATCATGGACCAAATGGAGAGGGTGCCTATTTGAGGCAGAGGCTCCAGCTGAGGGGGTCTAGAGTGTCCAATGAGGATCTTGGCTCTGCTGCAGGCATGGCAGGCCACTGACCATGACACCCAGACTCTGGGCATCAGCCTGAAGCTCTCCTCTCCAGTGTGCCTTGGGAACCCCTACGGCCAGGGACAGCACCCATTGCTGTCTGTCCTGGTCAGGTGTCCTCCTGCCCCTCAGCACCTGAAGAGGGCGCTGTGGAAGCAGCTTGGCTTGGTGGTGCTTAGCCTCTACCACTCTGCACTCTCAAAACCTCCTCGCCTGCCGCCTTGAATCAGTTTGGGGGCCTAACATCCTCTGCTATCTGACATTGTACTGTGCCCCTACTACGTATCATAGCACCCCATAGGGCTGAAGACATGCCTGCCTGCCTGCCTGCCTGCCCGGTGAGTGTCCTCTCAGATTGGACAGTGACAAGCTCACATCTCTCCCCTGCCCTCTCTGTTTAGGACTCTTCTGGCCCTTCCAGAACCTGTCCTCTGCCTTTGTTGCTGTCTTGGCCCAAGCCCGTGTCTGTCTGGCTCCAGACACACATGGCAGTGATGGGGCACAAACAGCGAATGACATGGAAGAACCACCAGACCCTAACGGGCCACAGAAGCGGGGACTGGGCCTGTAGCCTCCCCAAAGCAGCAACATCAACCATCAGCCACCAACACTTAGCCTCTGCCCTAACATCTGCTCCCCACTGTGCCTCGGGCGTCTGTGCCAAGCCCAGGCCCAGGGACGGCCTGGCAGGCCATCCTTCCCGAGTGGAGGACTGGGTCCAGCATAGCCGGCACACAGTAGGTATGAAGAATTATGTAGGGTGGCCTTGACAGAGAGCTTGTAGGAGACATTCGATGAAGAACATGGCCTCAGACACAGCCTGAATCCATGCTGGCACCTCCTGAGTGACTGGGGTTATTTTCAGCTTAGTCCTCACAGCAGGCATGGGAGGGACACTGAGGAAGACATCACCTCCTCGGACCAGAGAGCAGACCAGGCAGGCATGCTGCTGGCAGGGGGCCCTTTCCTCCTTTGACAATGCCCCGGCAGATGTGTTTCTCACCAATGTGGCTTGCAACAGGGAACCAGACAAGACAGTATCTGTTGAGACAATGACAGCTGGCTGTCCCTGCCCCTCAGTGAGGACAAGGAAGCTCCGAGGCTGTCCTGCTGCTGGGTATGTAGATGAGTGAGCCCTTGTCTGGTGAGTCCTCTTAAGGCGGACACATGGGGCTATAAGCCCCATGCAGCTGTGGCCCCATCAACGGGAGCCTCTCTGCAGTCCTCAGCTTGGGGTCCCTGCAACAGGGTAAGCCCCTTCCTGTCCCTGCAGCCCTCCTTGCATGCACCCCTTCTTGTACACCTTGAGGGCATCCTCACACAGTAGGCCTTGCAGATGGGTGAAAGCCTGCTCTTCCAAGGCTGTCTGGTAAGGACCTTGGCACGTTTTAAAGTCCACTGCTACTATTTCAGTGTTGGGGGGAAGAATAAGATTAGAAAAAATTTAAAAAATGCTTTAAATGATTGAGGTAATTCAAGAAATCCCAGAGGGCAGCCGAGCTCTCTGCTTCGAGGCTGTGGTTTCCTCAGGGAGCAGGAGTCGAAGGCACAGCACAGGAATCATCAGCTGAATCTAGAGGCCATGTTGTCCGCAGCTGGGCAGGGTTCCCAAGCCACAGAGCCAGGATTCCTGCCATGGCCTGGGAGTGCCCTGCAGCCAGCTGCTGCTGCTCTTGCCGGACCAGTGGCTCTGAGCGCTGTCCAATGGGCCTGTGGATGAGAACTGGCGTACACTCAGAGATGCAGACTCTCTCCACAGTGTTTCAGATAGGGCCACATGTCCCCCCAGCCTCATTCTGCATGCGCGCCATGCAGGTGAGGCTGACTCTGTGATGAGGCAAACACAGGCCTCCCCCAGAGGAGTTCCTAGCCACAGGCTGGTGGGGAGACAGGAGGGAAACTGTGACAGTCCTGAGAAGGCTTCCTAGAGGAGGGGAAGAGGAGACAGGTTCAGAGAGCAGAGTAAGAGCAACCTTGGTGAAGGGAGGGGAAAGGGGCTCAGAGTGAGCTCTAGGGGTTCCAACCAGGACTGAGGGGGAGTGGGCGCCATCTTATGGCCACAGGGAGTTATTCAGGAGTGCTTACCTACCTACTTGGAAGAGGGGCGGGGCAGAAGCAGTGAAGCCAGTGCGGAGAGGGCCCCACTGGCTGTGTCCTGGCCCTGCCTCAGGCACACATACCTGGGAGTAGCTCCTGGCTCAGGGTCTGGCCGCCCTTCCCCCTGCTGGCAGGCAAAGGTGTGGATGCACGGAGTTGCTGCAGAGCCAGACACTCCGACAGAACAGCCTCTGGATCGGCACCTGTGTGCATCTGGGGAGCAAGCAGCAGGGAGGGGTGTCAGCCCACAGGGGACAAGGCAGGAAAGGCAGCACCTTCTATGCTGTACTGGTTTCCTCACTGGGAAAGTGGGCTTGCAGGCAGTGTAAGGACTTGTGAGAAGAGATTCTAGCACAGGATCTGACACACAAGGACTTTATATGACATACACCTTCAGTCACTGAGACAGGACAGGAGAGAGGGGAACCTCTCAGGCTGGAGCTGGGGTCCTGTGTCTCTTGGGAGGGGTTTCTTCATGGTCCCTGAGGGACCAGCTTTAGGGGGGTGGTAAATGCAACTACTGGGCTTTTGTAGCTCCCCTTAGGGCAACCTGTGGCAGGAGGAGTGATGTCTCTTAGCAAGTGTCCCTGTCACTATGAGGGACACTGGAAAGAATCCAGGGTTGGGTCCCAGTCCTATGCCACCTCTTATTCCCCAGGGGTCAGCGGATAACCAACTTCTCTGGGTCTCACCCACCTTGCCTGTTTTTTGGAGCTGTCACTGCCTCTAACCATTGGAGGCTACGGCTAGTATTAAGACGACGAATGAAAAGATGATTTGTGAAGTACGGTGTGTAAGACTGACTGGGTTCAGCTGCCTGACTCCTACAGGGTCAGAGTAGTGGTCCAGTGACTTTCTATGTCTGGCTAGCAGCAAAGCTTGGTTGGGATGATCTAGTTAACACCACTTGGATACCTTGGAGCAATTTACTTCTCCAGGTGGCACAAAAACAAACAGGGTGGGCCTCTGAAGACACCAGGTGACAAGGGGGCAGGCACCTGCATGGGAGGTGACTCTTCTCTAGGGAAATCCCAAAGAAGTCAAGAACCAAGGCTCTGTCCAAACATCTACTTTACCAGGTCAAAACAGGTGCCAAGAAGCCCAGAGCCTCGCCCATGTTCTTGGGCGGCTGTGAGTTAGCCATAAGTGGTTTCCACCTTCCCACCTTCCCAGGCAGAGGGCTAACCAGGCGGGGAAGGCATGCCAGTCTCGCACTGGGCTCTCAGCGCCTGACCCAGCAGCTGTTTTCCATGTAAATGAAGTTTTTGGCAAAAGAGGGCCAAGGCATGTTCTTGCAGACCACAATGTCGATTGGATTAGGAACAGCAGGAGAGGAGAATTAAGGAAGAAAAGCATTTCTAATTCTCTCCAAAATGCAGCAGGGCTGCCAAGGACTTGTCATAATACAAGGGTCGCCTTACCCAGAAAGATCCATCATCCCCGATGGCTCTAATGGATGCTTATTGTTGGGAAGTTTGTAGATCTGCCGCCCAGGTCCCTGGGGCTCCATGTGAGCCAAGCACGGGCCTGGGAAAACCAGGGCAAGATTCTGGTCCTTGGGCACCAGTCCACCAGGGACAGCCGCCTACTTGGCACCTAGTTCCAGCCTACAGAAGCCCGAGCCATCCCTTGCTGCCCTGAGGCAGTGTCAGGAGTAGTACCCTAGCTGTCTCTCTGGAGCTGTGTGACTGGGATACTCTGTTAATGTCAATTCAGTCCCTACATTCCCGAAATGGACATAAGCTAGGGCCCACTTGTAGGATGACAGTTATAGTACATAAAGCAGCAGGTGAAATGTCTAGTTGAGGAGCCACTGGGTTAGTGGTTCGTCTCACTTCTCAGTGAGTCAGGGATGTGGTGGCGCTTGCACCAGTAAGCCTGCTGCATATACTGACTCCACCCTCCTCTGCTGTACCCTTTAAACGGTTCCCTAGTGCCTCCAAGAGGAGTTCCGTGCCATCTCCATCATGAGGCAAGCTGGATCCTGGTACCCTCCCTCTATCTGCCCGTTACATGAGATGGAAACTGTCTACTCTCCCAGTCTGCATAGGGCTTGCTGTTTTATTCATAGCAGTGTCCAAGGTCATTGCTTAAGTGAGCGGGCTCTTTCCTGTGCCTTGCTAGTGCTGCTGGGCTGGCTCCCATCTGACCTTCGCTCCACAGCCTCTGGTACTTGAGTACCCTCAACTTCCATGGCTCTGGGGATTGAGTGCTCAGTGCAGGGTGCTCTGCCCAAGGCTGCTGTCCTGTAACCCCTAGCAGCTCACTGCTGGCTTTCTCGTGCAAACCTTTCTCCTCTGGTTTTCATTCCCGGTGAAGGGCACCACCACTGATGCTCTCTGGCCCAGACCAGGTCTCTGTCATTGTATCCCGGACCATTCCACTATTTTCCTTGTTCTCATCGCTGAACTTACGTTTCACTCTGACATCCCTGTTTCCACATCACCCAAGAAGTATCTCTCAAAGCCATGTACTTATTGTTCCCCCAAGATCACATGATGGCATCGAAGGTCCTCAGGACACAGCGCAAATCCTAGGCAGGGTTTCCTGCATGTGACAGCCCAGCTACGTTTAGATATGAATACACTGGCCCCACATGTGCTATGGGTCATTCCAGTCACACATTCTTTCCTGAACTCGCCTGTCTACACCGCAAGAGAGCGGCAGTGTCCACCCCTTTTATGTTTGTGAATCTGTGGTACATACTCAACCCTGGACACATATTCTGTCACTTAGTCCTCACCAGCACACATTCCTTAGCCAGCAACTGGAACAGGAAGCACAGAGGCATAAGGCACAGAGGCAGGCTCTGCAGGGGGGACCAGAGCTCACACCCCTAGCCATTATCCTTTATGATTCTTGGTGCTTTTTCCTGGGACCTTTCTGTTCCCTTGCAGATGGGCCAAGGCCCTTTATCTGTGCTAGATATAACCTTCCTGCTGTCATTATCATATGGCTAGGAGCCTCCTCTTGGTGTGTCCCTCATGCCACTGGAAATGGGTACCACACCATGTCATTTGTCTTGCATCTTCAATGCCTAGCCCAGGGCTGGGTGTGAGTGCCTTGGTTAAAGGTGCCGTCTTTTGGTGGGTGAATGTCTAGCCGGTTGAGGTGATAAGGGCGGGGTTGTGGGCTGGCATACTGGGGAGCAGGCAAACATCGGCAGATGGGAGACCAGTAGCATCTACGAGTGTGTAGAGAGTGGCCCTTTGTAGGTGTCTGGGATCAGGGGAATCTGCAGAGAGGGGCCTGGACTTTGTGGCCACCTACCTTCTTACGCACCTGCTGTTCTTTGGTCGAGTGGGCCTTCACGTGCTTGCGGAGGGAGCTGGGGTCTGTGTAGCGCTTGGAGCAGCCAGGGATCTGACAGGCATATGGCTTCTGTAACATCAGAGAGGCATGAGGGATAGGTAAGAGGCCACTGCACGGTGAAGGTCCCCTATGTGACCTGCCATGGGGAGGATGAATGGGAAAGGCGCCTGGCCTGGGAGAGGAGGAGCTCTGGGTCCCCATTCTGTCACCATGTTGGCAGTGCAGGTGAGTTGCCTCCTGTCTGCAAAAGGGGACTGACTGAGCTCTGTAGGTCGTTCTGGCTCACACTGGCTGTGACAAAAGTGCCCTCAGCATAGCTGCATAAAAGCAGTATGTGGGGCAGGGGTACACAGCAGGCTGTCCCAGGCAGCAGAATGAAGAGAGGAAGAGGGGACGTTCTGGGGCCAGCCTGGATGACTGCTAGGCAGGGCCAAGGGGCACCATGGGTCACAGCAACCAAGGTCCTTCTTCTAGTAACTGGGAGACCAGAGGGGGCTGACCTCGAAGAGCACAAGCTAGGGGCCCAAAGGCTGTGCTGTTGGCACGGACCAAACCCCCTCCCTATGACCATCCCACTGTCCTGGAAGTCAGACAGGGGACACCCAAGTCAGCTCCTTACTTCCTCTTGGGCCCCCCTCCCCCTTCAGGTTGTCCCCTGCCTCCCAGGACCTAATCTCTTCTCATGCACAGCCCCAGAGCTTTTGTCACAGCACAGTCATGGCCTGCCTCCAAACACCCTTCCATGGCCCTCTGACCCTCTGACGATCAGAAACTCGGTCATTTCCTGGCACTGACGGGGGTCTTCCCCACGCATACCCCACAATGTTCTTCCCATCCTATCCAACCCACATCACCTTGCTCAGATCCTGCCTTCTGGATTGGCCCGAGGTTCCCACCGGCTGCACTGCCCACCTTGTGCTGCCTGGTCTTCCCACTGTCCCTCTGCTCTACCAATGAGAGACCCATCTAATCCTGGCCATGACTCAGAAGACCAGGGAAGGACAACTTACCGCCCTACCTGCATCTCAAGCTCAGGGGGCTTCCATAAGACCAACTTGGGGTCCCCAGCTACAGAGGCATGAAGTTTACAAGGTTTCCTTTAAAACCGAGTGCTTCAGAGCCCCCCCAGGGACTGCCTCCTGGAACCACAGAGGTGGAAGCATGTGCGTGCGTGTGTGTGTGTGTGTGTGTGTGTGTGTGTGTGTGTGTGTGTGTGTGCGCGCGCGCATGCGTGTAGGAGACAGCACCTCTTGGAGTAAGCCCCAGGGACTTCCATGCCCAGTCACACACACCAAGTGGAGCTGCCCACAAAGCCTCAAGGCAATTCTGCCCCTGCCCCAGGCGAGCTGGGAGGGGTGCCCTCTGTCGCGGTCCTTGTGGGGAAAAGCAGAAAGAGATGACCATAACCATACCTTGGAGCTGCCACGGAGATTGCCAGGTTAAAGAATGGAGAACAACAAAAAAGAGAGAGACAGCCGTAAGAAGTTGACTAGGCCAACAGGAGGGCGGGGGCGGGAGAGGGAGGCCTGCCTTGGACTGCCTACACCTGCTTCAGCATGCGAGTCCCACACACTTGCCCAGCCCCTCACCCTAACACACACGCAGCCTCTCTCAGGGGTCCTACCCAACCCCACAGCAATCTCCCATGAGTCCGGCCCTGCCCTGAGCTGACTGGCCCCTGGCCTTGTCCTCTGGGACTGCTGATACAAATCCACAGGCTTTGGTCACAAAGCAAATAAATAGCTCTGTGTGGCAGGCACACTCGCTTGGAAACAGGGCAGCAAGACCCATCTTTGTGTTTGTTTTTCCAGGGCTTGACGTGTATAGAACATTCCTCAGGCCCAGCTCCCTTGAGCCCTCAGGAAACCCCGTGGATGTCCCAAGCCACCAGCCAAACCCTAGGCCTGGAATCCCCATACAAGCTTCAAGACTGGGGCTGTGTTATTCCCGTCAACAAGGTTGTTCTTCCTTGTCTGTACAGAGCTCTGGACATGGGAGATGGTTATATCTCTGAGGGCTCCCTAGATACGGCACTGGCCACCCAGGGATCCCTCACCCACCCCTCAGAATGCTCCAGTTGTGCAGGAGACATCACAGCCATCAGGTGTGTGTGCTTCTTTCTCTATTAGGGACCTTTCTTCTCCCAGTGCCTCTGAGTATGCCAATCAAAGAAGGCAAACAGGCCCCCACTCTGCTGATGGGGAAACTGAGACCCCTACTGGGAATAGTGGCTGCCTGGGGTGTGGCAGGATCTGGCTGACATTAAGTCTCCGAGTGACAGACTAGGAAAGAAGGGGCTGCCTGGTTTACAGGTAGGCCTCACATCAGCTACCTCAGCTGTGCCCACCCTATTCTCAAGAGGCAGAGCCAAAATCAGAGCTGAAGCCTGCTTTCTCCAATTTGTCCAGAGGACCTCCTTCCTGCTGTGGGCCCCATGCTCTCTGATGCCAGGCTAGCTGGGGGTCTCCTATGAAGCTAAGGTTGTACGTGTGAGCCTGCCTTACTGCTGACCTGGAGGCTGCAGGCTGGGACATGGTCTAGCGACAAGGAGCTGCCCACACTATTTAGGCAGAGAGCTGGGTGTAAGTGGGGGCCCCTAGATAGATAAAGGCCTGGATAACCCTGAGGGCTTGTGTGGGCCTGACGGGGCCTAACCCTCAGGAGCTCTGTTCAACCGGCTGGGTCTAGGAAGTACAGGAAGGGCAGGAGAGAAGAACAAACAGGAAACTAGAGAGGCCATGGGGACATGCCCTAGGCCTGCAAGGGGGGGAGAAGGGCAGTGTAGCCTGTAAGGGGAGGGGAGTTGGTTTTTGAGTCGGGGACAAGGAGGGCTTGGGGTCAGTCAGCTGGGCCTCTGGCTTGTCACTTGCCTGCCACTGACACGATCTGACTCAGGTCTCAGCTTTTTGTGACCTGGGGCAAGTGTGTGGCACTATTGGGCTGGAAGGGGTCAAGCACGTACAGTCCAGTTCAGGGCCTGGCCTGGCTCCACGGCCTGTGACTCTCCTGCACCTGGTTCCCGGGCTGTGAGATAATGGCTAGGACTGGAGGGCTGTGTGTCTTCTCGGGTTTGACTTTATGGCTTCCAAATTGCACTAACAGCTCAGTTACCCTCTTGGGAAGGCGTATCAACTGGTGCCTAGCCCCATCCTGGCTCCCCACAAGCCTGCAGCAGAGCAGAGAGCTTCCTGGAGTTTTCTAGCAGACTCCAGCCTTGTGCTGCCGACAGGGTTGGGTTCCTCCCTAGGCACATGCCACTTTCCCCAGCACCTGTGAGGCTGGCATGAAGACTGAGTCATCTCTGCCAGAGTCCAGCCATGCGAGCCCCTAAGCCTGCTTCCCTCCCCTGTCAAATGGGTCCAGGGAACTTGGTTAGCAGGGTCAGTATAGGAATGACATTCTGAAAGTTCTGTGTTAACTGCTGATGTCCTTATTTGTACGGGGAAGCATGGGGCAGCATGGGACAGAGATGTGGGTCTCTACTGCCTGGCATAAGGACAGGGAAGTGGAAAGAAACACCATACAGATGGTCAGGCTGCTGGGCAAGATGCTGGATCTTATGTGTCCCCAACTACCACCTTGTAAAGGGCAAAACTGCTCTAAAGATCTATGTATTATTCCCAAGCAGGAGTGGGAAGAGCAGGGAGTGGCTTTCTCAGGATGCAGATATAGCTGGCTTGCCAAAGAGAGGATGTAGGGGTGAGAGCACCCACCTTCCCTAAAGACTTGGGCCTGGGCTGGTACTCACTGGCCAAGGAAGGTAATCTCAACTGGAGGCCCTTTGTAAGTTCAGTCTGCCCATCCCACATCCTGATTGAGGACATACGGCCATACCCAAATTATCTGCATTTGTCACAACTGGTGAATGATGGGGGGAAAATCTACCTACTTAGTAGAAAGCCAGGGAGCCTACTAATTCTCCTATAATACAAAGGACAAGCCCCCATCACTCCTGCCCTGTGTAAAGCTCCTCTTCAGGCCTACCTACCGTGTCAAGGTGGGTGCGTTGGTGCTTGGCACGGTCGCTGGAGTTGCTGAAGGCCTTCTGGCAACCTGGGTGCTGGCACAGGTATGGCTTCTCGCCCGTGTGGCTCCGCAGGTGGATCTTCAGGTTCTCCAGGCGGGAGAAGGCTTTACTGCAGCCTTCAAACTGCAGGAGAGGCTGATGAGGGGTGCCCTCAGCCCCGAGGGCCCACCCACCTAGAAACAGCACCCCTAAACCTGCCTGTCCCACCCAAACTGCCTTCAGTCCTCCCTAAAGCATCTGGGAACACTGCCCCAGGAGAGTTCAGGAAGTGGCCAGACTTAGAAACGGGTTACGAGGGCAGGAGATGACCTTCTGCTTCTGGCCTTGGGAACAGTAACTCACATCCCCGAGAGGCTTTGATGTTGTACCTGCCCCCTCTCCAAAGGTGAGGCTGTGGCTATCCATCAGGGCCTATAGGAAGGCATCGTCCTTGGTAACTGCTGTGAGACCAACAGTCACATTTGTGCACTGAAGTGTCTTGAGTTATCTAGTCATTTAGCTGTCCTCCGTTTACAGTGTGTGCCGGGTACTGGACATGTAATAGACACAGCACGACTGTTAGGTTCCTGGCAGAGTGTGTGTGAAGAAATGAGTCACAGTGGAGAGGGGGAAGGCACAGTGTGGGGCCTCTGCCCACCCAGATCTTCCCCCATGGCTCCAACTGTCTGTCCCTGCAACCCCTGCCATGCCTGGACCTTTCTTCTATGCTCTCTCACACCAAGTCCTCCCTGTCTCCGCTCCCTGGTCACCACACAGCCGCCTAGGAGCCCTGACATAGCGATACAATCCCGTGGTCCTCTCCTCACAGACCTGACAGTGCATCCCTGTGACTTCCCCGCCCACCCGCCCGCCCGCCTCTCTGCCCGCCTTCCTCCAGCAGTAGGCAGCTTTCAGCCTTTCCTCGTCTCCCTTCTCGGCCTTTTGGCTAAGATCTAGTGCAGTCTTCGTTCATGTAGGTCACTCAACAAGGTCACCTCTCATGACCATCTCCGCTTAGCCTTCAAGTCCAGCCCAGACACCGAGTGAGGCAGCGGTTCCAACCTTAGGTGTGGTGCTGCCGACTGCCCTCTTCTGCCTCTCCCCAGTCTGCCAGCTGGCCTTGTGGCTGTATTTTAGGGTGCAGTGAAGGTCATCAGTGGCTGGCACTGTTGACTACAAAACGCTGAAGCATGTGACATCAATGTCTTCATCTCAAAAAACATTGGTAGCCGGGCGTTGGTGGCACACGCCTTTAATCCCAGCACTTGGGAGGCAGAGGCAGGTGGATCTCTGTGAGTTTGAGACCAGCCTGGTCTACAAGAGCTAGTCCCAGGACAGCCTCCAAAGCCACAGAGAAACCCTGTCCTCAACAAAAAACAAAACAAAAAATTGGTAAAGTGATCTGCCCAAAGTCACATGATGTAGCAAAGACAAGGTGTAGGCCAAATGTGATGTCAAAACCTAGGTGGGTCATCTATGCTTGCTGAGAAGGAAGGGACTGAGCCACTGGCTTTCTCCCCATGTCCACGGCTGAGGGATATGCCAGTCATGAGCACCTGTCCCAGGTTAGGACTCAGGTGACTCCAGCCCTCTGGCACCAGGTCCCCCTGGGCTGCTGGGGGGCAGACATGTTCCATGAGGGCCAGGGCTCCAAAACAGTTCTTCCTCCTCCTCAGTGGAAGGAAGTTGCTAAGGGTTCTGTTGTTTCCCCTCTCCTGACGTACCATCTATGTTTATTGCCTTTGCCAATCTTAAAGGTGCAATACCCGCTAGTAAGTTTGGGATATGTCTGGCGAAGCCTGTGGACAGAGGTAAGATCCTGTGGTCCATTTGGTGTATGATCTTGTCTCTAGAGAGGTAGGCCTTGGGAAGGGGTCAGGGTCGGATGTATACTCTGGGAACTGGGGGGACAGAGTAATATATGGATTATGGGAATTAGAAGGGACAGCGTTATATATACACCAGCCTGGGAGGAATTGGGACAGTCATACATACAAAAATCATGATACGTATGACATATACAATTTAAAAAGCCACCTTCGGCTGTTAGTGGCAAGTAGGACTTGGGGAAAAGACAGAGAAGACAGTTGCTGCAGTTACAGAAGAGGACCACTGAAGTCCAGGCAAGAGCAGAGGCCATAGAATAAATTTCTGTACAGCCACGAGGACAAGGGTCACAGACAATGACCCCTTGGATGCCAATTGGGTCACAGTACAGGCTGTTGCTGGGGTCACCCTAATGCAAGCTTCTTGAGCTGGGTTTCAAGTTATGGAGCCTGTTCCTTTATCAGAACAAGAAGGAAATCCTGGATGGGGAATAGCAGGTGACCAGCTGCTCCCTGCTCACCTGCAAAGGCCTTGTGCCAAGTCCATCCCTATGTGATGAAGGAACCTGGGTGGGACCAGGCTCCCCTCAGCATCCATCGTGGCCCTTTGTTCTTACTGATTTAAGGGAAAGGTTGTTGGAGGAGACCAATAACTCTTAACTGCGTGATTTTTCTGACTTTGGGAGAGCCTGTCAGACTCTGGGGATCAGTTTACCTCTTTCCCACCAGGAACCTGGGGATTTTTGTCTGGGCTTCTGAACACCTGTTTCCTTATCCCCCGCCTTCGTTCAGACTGTACCCCTCCTGGGAAGCCTTCCCTTCCCACACTGACAATTTAATGTATACATTTTTCAGAAGTCCAGCATCTGTGTTAATGCCTTTGAGGATGCCCCAATATATCCCATGCATCAGCTGTGGAGAGATGACTCTGAACTTGCCAGGAATCTCCATCCCAAAGGCCCTTCTTAATACATTCACGAGGCCTCGAAGGCCCTTTCTTTCCTTTGCCACCTCAGCAAACACACGCCTCTGTTTAAGCACCACCCTCTGGGAGTAGCCTTCCTGGTCCCACATGCAGAGCCCATGTTTGTGGTGGGAGGGTTTCTCGGTACAGCCCAGCTTTCTCTCCCCATCTCTGTCCTGGGAGTGGCTCATCCCCTCAAGGACATTTAAAGGAAGTGTCAGGTAGAGAAGGCTCACTGCCTTATTCACCTGAGATTAAGATGCCACACAGATTCTGGCAGATCCACGCTCCCATCAGGACCAGGATCCAGACCTGCTCAGCCCTTGCAAGCCCTGAGGTCATTTCTATTCAGCAACTACACAGATGAGGTCAGAGACAGGAGGCTGAGTGTGACCATCAGCTCAACACTTGTGCCTGACTCCCATGGGCCTGGTGCTGCCACAGCATGGTCCTCTCCCCGTGGCTTTCTGAGTGTCTATAACTCTGCCCTGTAGATGAGGAGCTGAGGCCCAACGGCAGCGAGCTCAGTGACTGCAGATACGGCCCCTGCTGCAAGCGACCCTGGCTGCTCACTGAGTGATCCCAGGCAAGTCACTCTGTGAGTCTCAGTTTCCTCATCTGGAAACAATGTGAATGCTGCTAACTTTGGAGGGTGGTATGAGCATCACAGCAAGTTCTGATCTTGTCACTGTAGCTGTTGCTTAACACCACACAGCAGGTAAAGAGGGGTCTGCCTGGCCTGCTGCGTCTCTAATAGAGTTGTGGGTACATGTGTGCATATGCATGCATGCGTGTGCGTACACATGTCTGTGTGTACACATACGCATGTGTCCCCTCACTTCCTACTGTTCTCTTTCCTCTTCTTGCTCTGCACCCCTTGAAGCTCACTACCTGGCTAAGCCCCTCACTACACTTTACCTAACAACACCAAACGCACAAAATGCCTTAAAGTCCCACATACAGCAGAAGGTGCTCTGAGCTCTAAGAAGGGGCTGAATGGAGGGGAGGTTCCAGTTGCAGGGTTGGGGATTACCAAACCCTGCCTGGAGGAGCTGAGCCCTGATATCTGGGTTTTGGCAAATGAGGTGCCAAGAAATTCATTTCAGGGAAGACAGCAGGCATAAGCACAGGCAGTTAGAGCTGCAGGGACATCAGGGTTCTCGAGACAGCTGCCGAGCCAGTATCAGGGGAAGCAGGAATGGGAACCTTTAATTACACACATGGCAGAGCAGGTGAGCTCTGGCATTTCTGATCCTGGAAAACCTTACAGACTACTCCCATACAATTACTGCCAAGTCCCAGCAGATAATGACGCCATGCTATTGACCTGGGGTGCTTCAACATGGCTTCTGCTGGTGGGACCACCTTTTCTACCCAGCTGCTGAAGCTAGGAACCTGTTTCCTTCTCCTTAACCCCAGCATCCAATCAGCCAGCAGCCCATGGAGTGCCATCTCTCAACAGCTTTTCATCTTTTCTCTACCCACTGCGCATGACCCACCCCCAGTTCACTCCCACGTGGCACCCAGATAATGTCTACCCTTGACTCTTTTGTACCTTAGCATATATGTTTTTATCCTGGCTATACAATCTGGCCCCGGGGATGCCTGACAGTGTCATAATTCTCACACCACGGCCTCTACCATCTTGTGCAGTTTGGTACCACCCTAACCCCCACACCCTGAGGGAATGATCACAGGTGAGTGCTTTCGCCTACCAGAGCCCAGATATCTCCTGGGCACAGGGGAGGGTGCTTCTGGGAACTGAAGCACGCATGGAGCATCCTTTGGCTCTTGATCTGGATGCTACCAGTGGCCTCGGGCATGTCCGTGGACACATCTTGTTCATGGTAAATTTAAACATGCTGTCAACTAACCAGATACACTCCAGGTTCATCTAGCTTGAAGCAAAGGCTCTCACACATGGGAATGGGGGACTGTTGGGGGAAGTGCGTGTCTCACAGTCTCAAAACATGACAGGATGGACGGCTAGATTTTTTTCCCCTCATTCACCTGAAAATATATCAACACTGAAATCCATCCTAAGAGAGAGTAGAATAGATTCAAAATACCAGGCATCCGGCGATACCCCTCAGACACCGACCACTGTCTAGCGCTGTGTGTTTCACTGAATCGAGACAATGTGCCCTGCCAGTGGAGGATGTCCCGGGCTCAGCCTGCAGATGAAGCGAGTGAGATTCAGAAAGGTGATGTCACCATACTCAATAGCCAATTAGAGCTTGGATCTAGCCTGGAGTCTGACTGACATGGTTGTACATCCCTACACTCTGCCTGGTTCCTCAGGGTTCTCACAGAGCACTGAAACCAGGCTGTTAGGAGTTACTCCTGGGGTTTCA